TTGTTATTAATTGTTTACTTACATCTCATCTTTCCCTTCATCTTCATTACTATACAGCCTACATTCTTGTTCTTCTTTTGCTTTCTACAAGAAACTGCGAGTCTGATAACTCTTCCATTAACATTGTGGTGGGATTCTGTAACTCCAGAATACTGTAGATTGCCAAAAATTGAGTAAAATTATAGAATATGCATGAGGGCTTTTTAAAAGGATGTTATCTTAACAAGATCAAATTAAAAGAATAATAAGGGAAGGACCATTAGATAGTTGATGGGTTGCGTAAATCCCCCAACAAAATTTCGAGCAAGCACTTAAACCTCAAAAAAAATATCGTGCAACCTCTTCTGCTAGAAGAAAAATATCTAACTTTACGCAAAAAAAAACGTACAAGGGTTGAACCAAAAAGAATACAAATATCCTGTAACCAAAATTCTTGCAACCCCCCTCCCCCCCTCCCCCCAATTAATTATCTAATGGTCCATCCCAGTTTGTACCAACCTCAAGAAGAATTTCATCTTTCGTAAATCTTCTTGACGTATTAACAAATCTTCTTAAGACCCTTTCGCTTAGGCGTTTCCAAGTCCCAGTGCAACTCGAATAAGCCGAGTTCAAGAAATTGACACGGCATCTTTGGTCCGGAGTTTTGAAAACATAAGGACGCTTTCGTGAAATATCCGGGATGGGATCGGTAATAGTTTCACCAACAGATAAAACGTTACATCCTATAAGAGAAAAAATACCGTGGGATAATGAAAGCGAATATATTCATTGATCATGCAAGTAAAAGGTTTTTGCAATGTCACGCGAAGGCAGCCATATTGGATGGATAGCGGAAGAGTAACTGAATTTCTGTATTTGTTTGTCTGACACGTTAAAGAAGGATGAAAGAACACCAGGTGAGTTGGTCAGCTTTCGAATATCACCATACGCCGATTGTTCTTTATTTCTTTGTTCATACTTACCAGCAAACTGTCGTACTTTTGCGTTACCCAAGCACAGCCATGAACCGTTGTTATACACAACAGTGTTCTTAACATACGAAGTACCGGATGGATTTGTTATGTTACAGGTACATGAACACGACTGTCCTTTTCTTTTCTGCATCGTATCACAACCAATGTTTTCTGCACTTGCCGCGGTTCCACAAAGCTGCCTTGGGAATCTTATCCTATCCACTTGGCCTTCAATGGAGCGAATTATCTTCACTTTTGAGACACGAACCGATGAATATTCGTCGCACCAAAGCAGTATGAGAAGAAAAACGTGTTTTAAAGTATAAAAAATAAGCGCATTTTGACAGGAAAAATGATTAGGTAATTCCACCATTTTACACCGATCTTGAACTACGAGGAACTGAAATTTACAGAGACAAGCTTGTACCTTAATACCTTGTTCATCTCAATCAAGAAGCTTTCACACCAAAACAAACATGTATCCCAAATGACACAAACCATATTTGATATTTATTTCAGTTTCATACTTTTAATTGCAGTTTGTTTCTATAGTTATTAATATAAAACAAAAGAGGTTTACTTTCTCTTAAAATCGTAAAATTAGCAAGGCTGATGTCTGCTAAGAAATAGCCTGTTTTGTGGTGAATGAAATATTCATAAATGCCAAAGGGAGGCAACATTTAATGCCAAGGGGCAGGAAGGCATCAGATATACATGAAACCAAAAGAGTTGATTTTGTTTATGTGAAAGGTTTCGAATCTCACAAAATGTGGTAAGAAACTCACTGACGGAATACTAAACCATTTTCGAATTCCCTAATACGGCTGTGTTTCTTGATTACAGACTCGGTTAATCAGGTTTAGCCTAGATCATTTCGGACTCAAAATATTCACAATACCAACGGTGAAGTAAACTGAGAATTCACTCGAATGCACTAGCATTCTATTCTATTGCTTTAGAATCGATAATCGAGACCTTGTCGGCTTGGGCGTAATGTTTTTCCCATTTCATTGTCCAGATAATCATTTCACTCTTTTTCCGTCAACGCCTGAGAAGATATATTAAAAGCACAGGAGTTTCAATTTAGATAATTAATACCAAAATATTCGACCCAAATTTTAAAAGGCTATAAGATTCTGTGCCCGGATGACATGTTGGTTAGTGCCTTTTCTAAAGCGTTATCAATAAACCGACACACTACATACTACTCAGGCGAAAAAGACGTGGTGTGGAATGGAAAAACAGGCCGCATAAAATCTGCTTGACCGTCTATTTAGTTTTCTACTTAATAATTTGATATTTTTTTTGTAATCCCTTATACTTTATTTGGTATGGTAACGATATATGCATATTTGCGATTTTAGATACACATAGTCTTTTGATACTTGTATAATAAACGTTCGTTTCTATGCCTATGTGAATAAAAAACTTGTTTTATTGTGTAGTGTCGCGTATAAATGTGTCATTGTTACGCATTTTCGGTGCAAACATTGCATACTGCATATTTCCTTAAGCTAAACAGGTGCATCTCTCAGTGAAATTAATACCAAATTTGCTACGCACTCTAGCTATATACAACTTGAAGACTGCATTAAAGCAATCTTTCTTTTTTCTCCCTTTAAAGCAAGTTTTCATTATCGACATTACATCATTCATCCCCCCCCCCCCCCCCCCCCCCCCCCCCCTCAATCTCATTCTGGTACTGAAAAAAGAATATAGATAATTTCATTATGGCCAAAGGATCATGACGTCAACACCAGTGTCTTTCTTTTTATGACAAATCAATCCTCGCAACCAAATTATCATCTTCATCATCCCAAACAGTCTCGTAGGCTTCTCTCTGAAGTATGTCACGCTGCGATGGCTGTTGCATAACGTTACTTGGGACCGTTGCGTTATCTTGGATGCTATTTTTAGGTCTCTCTTTGGAAGATCTCCGAATGACACTCCCTGGGACATCATAAGAGACGTTTGTCTCCCGATCCAGGCTGTTTGATCCACCCGGATTTAAATTGTTTTCTCTTGGAAGACTACATTGTATTTGCCCTCCAGCAACATCATAATGTTCTTCAAAACGGCCTATCCCGGAACCAGAGCCGTCGCTGCTTATCAAAGTACTCGATTTGTTGGTGGCCTCGGGCGAAAAGCCAGAAGCTGGGACATTAGTAAACCTGAAGTCACTGTTTATGGATCGGGTTGGTGGTAATGGTTGATGGTTTAGTGTACTATAAGTCTCGTCAATTTCACCATACAGCGGCTCACCGTTGCAATGATCATAAGCTCCTGGTCCAGGTGACACTGAAAAATATTTTGAGTTGTTTTCATATATGTTCGCAGAAGCTATATTGGTTACAGCAGTCGGAGCTTTTTGTGCGTGTGTGTTGCATTTTTGCTCCTTTCAGTGGCAGGCCAAGGGAGGCTCATGACTTACCCGTGGAGGATAGTTTCCGTCAAGGAATGCGTCAAAAAAGCGGGAAATAACACGTTGGATAAAGCGAAACCTAAAACTAACTTTTTTGCGGACATGCCCCGCGACGTCTTCCTGGCAGCTTGTCCCTGTAAGACATGCAGCTTATCTTATTGTTGGGGGTGTAGGTCTTGTCTCTGGCCTTACCGCTCCCTAAAACTCGCCAACAATATTCTAATTGTGCTAAATCCTTGCCCAGATGAAATACATACTGGCGATTCGGCAAGTACGCGATACTGAAGCTGGTGGCAATGTGATAAGTAGATCGTTTTCACTAACCTGGGATGACACTATTAGGTCTTTGAATCGTCGAAGAACCTCTTTCCAAGTAATCATACGTTAAATTAGGTGGTGGTTGAGGTAAAGGTCGAAAGCTTGTGGGTCTTGTTAGTGGTATGAAAGGGTCAGGACCTTGCTCATACGCAAGGTTTCCTACAAGAAATAAGCACAAGTATCTGGTTTAGTGGCAAGCTTGAAATTCATCACAAATTATCAGTACATATTAAGCTTTACTCTATATGTTAGTATCGACGTTGGTGTAGAGAAAGCTCACTCCATATATGGTATATGACCAATTCCATATTTGGATTGTGCGGAAAAGCGGCAAACAAAAAGGCCGTCGTTTTATAACGAATTCAACATGAACATTTTTGAAGAAGAAAAGGAAAGGAAAAAAAGACAAGTAAAAAAAGAAAAACTTTGTAAAATCGAGGAAGGATACGGGGACGATGCTAACTCGTGGGTCTGCCTCGCAGACAACAGACACAGGGTAATTCGACAGTCAATGTTTGATATGTATGCAAAATCAGAAATATGCTTTAAAGTGAGTAAGACATAAAAAAGTATGGCATTGTTTGGGTGGTTTGTTGCGGTTTCTAGTGGTGGTTCGTACTGAGTTTCAGTTTCCTACTGATAACGATTAATTACCTTGGGCACGGCGTACACTCTTCTCTCTGCAATAACAAGGAAAACGTTTATATAGTATATAAACATAAGTAAAAGAATACAGAAACAAAAGTGCGTCGTCCAAGACATGACAAACGAAAATAAAGAAATATTGAAATTCAATAAAATGGCACAAAGCTATAAAACGAAACGATAATGGTGGATGTTAAATTACATAACCACTTACTTTGCTTTAGCTTTTCGTCGTTTCCAGTAAATTATCAATACTACGATGACTACGATAAGCATGACGAAAGCAATTCCACCAACTACTGAGCCTGCGATCAATGCTGCAGCGGGTGTTGTATCGTCACTTTGGGATTTCTTGATATTAATTCCTGTACCGTTTGTTACGGTCGTGGTCTATAAAATAATAATGATTCTAATTATAGTATTACTACTAATAAAAATAATTATAATGAGAATAGAATTGATAATAATAATAATAATAATAATAATAATAATTGAAATAGTAAAGGCATTCTACGGATGTCCATTCTACGCCTTTGAAAAGACATTTGTTAGTGACACACTAAGGATATAGCCTAGAACTATATAAGTTCCGCTTTATTTTTTTAAGAGTACTACCGACTGAAAGTTTAAATAAACGAGGATAATA